CGACCAGCTCTTCTTCGAGCAGTACCACGTCCACAAGCACGTCTAGCAGCAGCACAACTTCCACAAGCACATCCTCAAGCAGCACCAGCACTACTTCCACGAGTACCTCCTCCAGCAGCACCACCTCAACCAGTACTTCTTCCAGCAGCACTTCTTCCACAAGCACATCTACCAGCAGCACATCTTCAACTAGCACCAGCACCACTTCCACATCAAGCTCGTCATCCAGCACAACTTCCACAAGCACCAGTTCAACGAGCACATCCTCTAGCAGCACCAGTACTAGTTCCACCACCAGTTCATCGACCAGCTCTACGTCGACAAGTTCTACGTCAAGCAGCACTTCGTCGACTAGCACTTCCTCGACTAGCACGTCGTCGACCACGAGCTCTTCCACCAGCACATCTTCGAGCAGCACCAGTACTACTTCCACATCAAGCTCTTCCAGCAGCACCACGTCAACTAGCACTTCGTCAACGACCACATCGTCAACAAGTACGTCCTCAAGCAGCACCACCTCCACCTCCACGAGCAGTTCCTCAACAAGTACAACGTCGACAAGCACATCGTCGACGAGCTCTACGTCGACAAGCACGTCGTCAAGCAGCACCACTTCGTCCAGCACGACGTCCAGCAGCACGACGTCCAGCAGCACGTCCACCACTTCGACCAGCTCTTCTTCGAGCAGTACCACATCCACAAGCACGTCTAGCAGCAGCACAACTTCCACAAGCACATCCTCAAGCAGCACCAGCACTACTTCCACGAGTACCTCCTCCAGCAGCACAACTTCAACTACCACGTCCTCCAGTACCAGTACGTCCACAAGCACATCTTCGAGTAGCACTACCTCTACTTCCACGAGCACATCCACAAGTTCCACGACGTCCACTTCGACGTCCAGCTCCACAACCAGCAGCACATCCTCAAGTACCACGTCCAGCACCTCAACGTCGACGAGCACATCTTCGACCAGCAGCACTTCCACAAGTACATCTAGCAGCAGCACGACATCCACTTCGACGTCCAGCTCCACAACCAGCAGCACATCCTCAAGTACCACTTCCAGCAGCACAACGTCGACGAGCACATCTTCGACCAGCAGCACTTCCACAAGCACGTCTAGCAGCAGCACGACATCCACTTCGACGTCCAGCTCCACAACCAGCAGCACATCCTCAAGTACCACGTCCAGCACCTCAACGTCGACGAGCACATCTTCGACCAGCAGCACTTCCACAAGTACGTCTAGCAGCAGCACGACGTCCACTTCGACGTCCAGCTCCACAACCAGCAGCACATCCTCAAGTACCACGTCCAGCACCTCAACGTCGACGAGCACATCCACGAGCAGCAGCACTTCAAGCAGTACATCTAGCAGCAGCACGACGTCCAGTACGACGTCCAGCTCCACAACCAGCAGCACATCTTCAAGTACCACAACCAGCAGCACAACGTCGACGAGCACATCTTCGACCAGCAGCACTTCCACAAGCACATCTAGCAGCAGCACGACGTCCAGTACGACGTCCAGCACAACTAGCAGCACAACCTCGACTAGCACGTCTTCGACCAGCAGCACTTCCACAAGCACATCTAGCAGCAGCACGACGTCCACTTCGACGTCCAGCTCCACAACCAGTAGCACATCCTCAAGTACCACGTCCAGCACCTCAACGTCGACGAGCACATCCACGAGCAGCAGCACTTCCAGCAGTACATCTAGCAGCAGCACGACGTCCAGTACGACGTCCAGCTCCACAACCAGCAGCACATCTTCAAGTACCACAACCAGCAGCACAACGTCGACGAGCACATCTTCGACCAGCAGCACTTCCAGCAGTACATCTAGCAGCAGCACGACGTCCAGTACGACGTCCAGCTCCACAACCAGCAGCACATCTTCAAGTACCACAACCAGCAGCACAACGTCGACGAGCACATCTTCGACCAGCAGCACTTCCACAAGCACATCTAGCAGCAGCACGACGTCCAGTACGACGTCCAGCTCCACAACCAGCAGCACATCTTCAAGTACCACAACCAGCAGCACAACGTCGACGAGCACATCTTCGACCAGCAGCACTTCCACAAGCACGTCTAGCAGCAGCACGACGTCCAGTACGACGTCGAGCTCCACAACCAGCAGCACTTCTACAAGTACCTCAAGCAGCAGCACAACGTCGACGAGCACATCTTCGACCAGCAGCACTTCCACAAGTACGTCTAGCAGCAGCACGACGTCCACTTCGACGTCCAGCTCTACCAGCAGCACAACGTCGACAAGCACATCTTCGACCAGCAGCACCTCGACAAGTACATCTAGCAGCAGCACGACGTCCACTTCCACGTCCAGCTCCACAACCAGCAGCACTTCTACAAGTACCTCAAGCAGCTCCACAACGTCGACGAGCACGTCCTCCACAAGCACATCTTCGACCAGCACCTCCTCCTCTTCTACAACTTCAACTTCAACGAGCTCATCGACCACGAGCAGCACCTCCACATCGTCCAGCTCCACAAGCACGTCTTCCACCAGCTCATCCTCAAGCAGTACAACCAGCACCTCAACCAGCTCGACATCGACCAGCTCGACATCCACAAGCTCCTCTTCAACAACTTCGACAAGCACATCTACCTCAAGCTCATCGACAACCAGCACATCAACAAGCTCCTCCAGCACAACCTCAACTTCGACATCGTCATCCAGCACGTCCACAACCAGCACATCATCTTCCACTTCGTCTACAACGAGCAGCTGACGCCTCAGCACACGTTTGAAGGTTTGAGGATGGGCCGTAGGTCGCGCATCCTGTCCTTTCTGCTGCTTCCGTGCGCCGTAGGCGCGTACTTTGGTTCTTCTGCTACCGTAGCTTTTTTGCTGCCGGTCTCCATGGGTCACTGTTGGCCGACCCTGTTTCCGGACCGCGCAATGCAGGAAACCAGGATTCAGGAAACCTAAGCGAAGCTATCAACGTCGCTGATCTGGCCTTGCTTGGCCACCTGAGGTAGCAGCTCAACGACCAGCAGCACGTCGACCTCCACGTCCTCAACTTCCAGCACCACAACTTCCAGCAGCAGCACATCGTGCCTCGAATGCTGTGTTGTGTGTGTGTGTGTCTTTTTTTGTTGTGTGTGTGTGTGTGTGTGTGTTTTTTCTTTTTTCTTCAAGCGTAATTGTTCAGCTCAGCTTCACAACTTGATTCCCGATGCAATCCAGGACATCGACGACCACGTTTACCAACACCACCACCACGACGACCACTACGTCCAGCTGCTTTCCTGGATTTGCCCTCCTTGAGCGCCCTCCCCCCACCCCCTCCCCCACCTTTTTTGAGCTTGGCTCGGTTAGTGTTGGGATAGCAGAGAGTCTGTTTATGGATTTCTGAGACAGGTTCCAGCACCTCGACCTCCTCGTCCACCACCACAAGCCGGGCGCCCGAAGTGGCTCGTGGCGTGAGCGCATGAGCTAAGCTTGAGCAAGGATGAGCCTAAGCTGCGCATGCCATCTTTGTAGCGCCGAACTGCACTGGTCAGGCACGACCATCACCATCACCAGTAGCAGCCCAAGAGTCCGCTCCAGAATTTTTTGAGAAGTCTGTATCAGCGACGTAGTGGACCATGGCTACTTGTTGTTGTTTTCAGCGCCCACACTTGTGGAGCAGATGAAAGCCCCTGAAGGCACGACAACCTTGTCTTCGACCACCACCACAACGATGGTGCGACCCTGTCAGAGTGTCGGATTGTGTTTGCGATGGTTTATGGCGGGTCCTCAGCCTCCACCCTCCTAAAGACCAACAACGCTCGAAGAAGGAGACCGCATACCCCCCCCCTTCAGAGTGCACAAGCTCAAGGGGTTGACCCCGAACCCAAGTTGGAGTCCGAGAGCTGACTTTGGATTTCGTAGTTCGAAGCAAACCCTAAACCCCAAACCCCAAACCCCAAACCCCAAACCCTAAACCCTAAACCCTAAACCCTAAACCCTAAACCCCAAACCCTAAACCCTAAACCCTAAACCCTAAACCCTAAACCCTATAAATCCTAAGCCCTGGCAGCCAGGTCGAGGCGGTGGCCTTGCGGGCCATCGGCGGCATGGACCGGGCGGAGGAGGACGTGACAGCCGAGACGCCCGGTGATGGGGGCGATGGGGGTTTAGGGTTTAGGGTTTAGGGTTTAGGGTTTAGGGTTTAGGGGGGGGCCTTCGATGCCCAGGGTGCCCCTGAGAGGCCTCGGAGGGGGCTTCAGGAGTTGAGGCCCCTTGCAGATGCTGCCCCGCGCAGTGTCCGCAGTGCCTTGCGGAGCTCGGTTGGTTGTTGTCGAAGGCCCCTGCTGGGATTTACCACATCCACATGTCACTCAACCCAGCATGTTTTTCCCCTAAACCCTCGACCCTACCTAAACTCTAAACCCTAAACCCTAAGCCTTGCCAAGGCCAACTTGATGGCCTCCCTGCTGGAGAGCCTGGAAGGCGGGGCTTCTAGCCTCCGAACACCCGGAACCCTGGGAACCCTAGCATGTTCGCTCAAGCTGGCGCATGCTCGGGGATGACCAGGAGAACCGCTTGTTGAGCCCTTGGTGACTACGTCGACCACAGCTGTCGGTGCAGAGGTCACGGCACCTTGGAGGCAGAATGCACGAGGCACCTTTCATGATCTTTTGCACAGGGTTTCTCAGTTTCGAGAACTTCTCGGTTGCACTTCAGCGCTCTGTGAACTCACGGGGGTGGAGTGTAGATTCTCAGTCGTGCTTATGGATGGGGCTCGGTCCAAGCAAAGCTGTGGGGTCACGTGAGCCCGAGGTAACGATGCTGACCTTTGTGGCAGCTGCGAATACAGGCCACCCGCACGGGAGCTTAGGCAGCCAGAATCTGGCAAGCTTCGATGTGTGCGTTGCTGGCAAGTGCTTTGCTGTGGCGGGAACAGGGCCATTCGGGCCGTCCGCAGCTTGTTCTTGGCTCTCTGATTCGCTCCGATTCGCTCCACCCCGCCTTGCTTCCCGCGATGTCCGTGGTTCGCGCGATCTTCTTTATGCTCCCCCTTGTGGCAGCAGAGCAGTCGCTTCGTGGCGCTGAGCCAAGGAAGCTGTTTGACGATGTGGCTTGCACTGGCAATGGAGGCCTTGCGCAGCACACTCCGTCTTGCTACGGTGGCCAAGTGCTCGTCGAGAGCTTCTCCCTGCACGTTCTCAGCTACGACGGCTCGACAGGCACTGTCGACATGAAGGCCGAAGGCCCCCAGTCTGCCGAGTGTGATGGTGCGGAGTTCCAGACCGATGACAACATGATCACCATCGAGAATGATCACGGGTGCGGCCTGGGCAACTATGAGTACTCCGTAAGGTACTGCCCAGATCAGGACTATGCCTCTTGGCCGCAGCCTAGCGGCCTAGCGGCCTAGCGGCCTAGCGGCCTAGCGGCCTAGCGACTTGTGCTGTGATCTGCTGGTGTGCAGTGCTTGCCTGCTTGCCTGCTGCATGTAGAATCTGAGGTCATTGTAAACTTGGTGAAGCCGTACGACGTGCGTGTTGTGCTGCAGAGTCAGACGTGCCCCAGCGCCGGAGAGGTCTGAACGAGCCATGAAGCCCAGAACAACTGCGCCGAAAGCGCGCAGGGAATTCGTGCAAAGCAAAACCGGCACTCCCTGATTGACTTTGAGGAGTCTGGAACGTGTGCATTTAAAGCCACCTCGGTTACTTCGGTGATGTCTAATTCGAACTTTTGCACTGACCCCCTCTGCAGTTCTAAAGGGCTGACCCAGCCCCCACGGAGCAGCAGAATGTGTAACGCTACTATGAAACATTCGTTCTCATGCTGAGAGGCAAATATCCATGGCTGCTTGAACTGCCTCCCCTGATCCTTGTGCCTTGTTGCGTGCCACTTTCGAGAGAGCCCATGAGTTCAAGAGTTGCCGTGAAAGCAGGCAAAAACATCATGACGATCGAGACGCAGGTCAGTGATGGCAGCTTCGCGCCACAGGCCTTCCCTTTACACCCATCGGAGAATGGCAAGCATGGCGAGTATGTGCCTGCGTGCCGCTCGTGCAATCCGAAAGCCATGCTGTGCAGCACAGATTCACATCCAGCCGTCCCGGAATATGCGGGCATCGACCAGCACGAATACCGTTCCCCAAGGATTCTCCAGCGAGTTTCTCTGTGGTAACTGTCAGCAGTTTTAGGGGCACTTGTCAGAAGGTGAGTGTGCCTCTGGCCGTACTGGACCAGATCAGTGGCGGGGCTTCTGGGCCGGCCTGGGACCCAGTAGGATCCAGTTCAAGGAGGTTTAAGGTTTGAAAGGTGTTCTTAAACCCCCCCGCCTTTGTGGCCCAACCCGCAAACGGGTCCTTTAGGAAACACAAAGAGAATGGAAGCTGCCGCAACTAAGGTCGCCATCACAACTGGCAAGGTCCCCATGCAGTTCGCCCGCGACATCGAGGACAGCCAGCCGTGCTCCGGTGTCAGCGCGCATGAAGGGATGACCTCCTTTTTGTAAGGGAATCCTACGAATTGGGAGGTCTATCTTAGGGGTCCCCGATGTTCGTAAACCCCCATCCATCCCCACCCCCAAACGGCCTTCGAAAGTTCTCCAAGACCCCAAAGTCCGGGAGGCTGTGGGTGCGGCAAAGGCCAGGATGGACCTGAACGTCTCGGATGCCTTCTGGCGCAACAAATAAGGGGGGGGGTGCTTAGGGTTGCTTCCCAAGATTTCTGGAAGACTGCCAGAGGAGCCTTCTGAAGTTTTCGGGGCTCCCAAGCTCGGTGGGTTTGTCTCCCAGGCCGAGCCAGCGCCTGCACTGGCCACACAGCCCTTCTCCATCACGGTCTACGACAGCAATGGAGAGCCGATCCGAGGCGCGTGTCTCACCAAGACGCCCCAAAGACTCTTAAAAGTGGAGGGAGACCACCAAGATCGCATCTTTCGTCAAATTCCTCTGCCCTCACCCACGTAGTTTTGTGGTCTCGAGGTCCGCAGGCACAGAAGCGGTGTGGAAGCGTTTGGAAGCCCGTGCTCTGTGGCGCTGCCTATTGGAGTCCAGCTGCTCAGGCATCCAGCTCGAGCAGCCCATGACCCTGCAGCTGGCTGCCGCTTGGAGAGAGAACCCCAGAATCCCACTGAAGGCTCCCGATTGAAAGCCCCTACATTCTCACGAAAAATCTTTTGAACAGCGTCCAGAGATGGGAGTCTACGGAGACGTTGAACCCTTCTTTGAAAGGATCCTCCATTTGGATGACTCATCTTTGCTGGCAGTAGCAATGCTTTGTTCTCGTGCGTGGCAAGCTTTAGGTGAGCCGAGGTGGTGAGGTTCAGGATGTAGGGATTCAGGGCAGTTCATTGTGGTCATCAATCCTGTGTCCAAGCCTCGGCGATCTCGAAGATGCGGTCGCAGGAAGATGCCAACGACTCCATCTCCTGCGCGTTCTTTAACCAGACCTCTTTCCGGTGGTCGACCTCCGGATTAAGGCCAGAGGTCGGGCAGAAGAGAACTAAGCAGAGACCTTGCTGGAAACTCCTACACAGGCCATTAAACTGGCTCGAACTGGGGAGCACCCATACTTCGCTGCGTCACGAGCTCCCAAAGACTTGTTTCAAGGCGGGTGCGACCAAACATGGGAAATTCCAGCACTCCGACGGCCGGAGCGTTACTTGGGTGAATTGGATGGGCCGAGCCCTTGTCTATGCTTGTCGAGTTTGTCGATGTGAAGGAGGCTGTAGGTCGCTGAAAAAGAATTATCTCGCGGGTTCGGGAGGCCTTGAAGTGGAGGAATAGGTGGAACCTCTGCTTCACCTGAGTTTTAAGGCCGGTGCCCCTCATCTGCGAGACGGACCACTTGAGTATCTTCAGCGGCGTCGTGGCTATTCCTGCTGCCGCGGCCTTGGCCCTGTAGCCTACGGGATGCGAGCTCGACTCTTGGGTTCCCTTTGCAAAAGCCTTGCGAAAGCTGTGGAAGACCATGGAAGACCCACGTAGGCTTATGTGGGCTTCCCTGGAGTTCAGGCAGACATGGAGGGCTACGTGGAGCTCCCCTTCGCGCGGAGCCCAGTGGGCATGCTTCGCTCCATATGACGATGTCTGTATCTTAGGCTCAACAACCCCTTGTAGGCCCCCATGTGCATGCAACGTCTCTAAACTCTGCATCCTGGGATGCCCTTCGACCCTGCAGGAAGAGTCCAACGTTGCAAATGACGGCATCAGCCCGGGCACGGACGGCAGCAACGGCGGCGGAGACTCGTCGGGGTCTCGGAGGCTCTCTTCCGTAAGGCGCCTCTTTTCGGGTACCCCCGGATGCGCGGTGGCGCAGGTTTTTCCACCACTCGCCCCACTCGCCCCAAAGCATCCCACCCCTAAACATCCCTACGCCACACGAAGCGACGCATGAGCCGAGGCAGGGAGGCCGCGACTCATTCGGGTCATTCGGGGGCTCGAACTTCGGAGTTGAAGCGAAACCTAGCGGCTTCCTGGGCCCTGAACCATAGAAGACTCCGGAAAGACTCCGCAAAGTCGTCAAGTCTAACAGTTGCGCGAAGACCTTAACCCGGCTGCTCCCAGGGCCCAGAATCCAAACAATGGTGGCGGCGTCGGCCAGGCAGGGGGGGCTAGTAAAAGTTTCACCGGCGCTCTCGGTATGTGTAGGTGCTGATGTCAAGCCGTAGCCTTAGCCTTAGGGTTGAGGGTTTATAGGGTTTTGGGTTTAGGGTTTAGGGTTTTGTGAACAGGTGGTCGATGTGGTGGATGACGTCCTGAGATGCACCAGGCGCGGGAGGGCTGACCTGCAAGGTACGCTCCTCTGCTCCCGAAACCCAAAGCCCCAGAAGCCCCCTAGGCCCCATAAGCCCCACAATAAGCCCCATCATAAGCCCCATAATCAGCCCCACAAGCCCCAGAAACCCGATAAACCCGAAACCCGAAGTCCCTAAACCCTAAACCCTAAACCCTAGACCCTAAACCCTAAACCCTAAACCCTAAACCCTAAACCCTAAACCCTAAACCCTAAACCCCCAAGCCCCTAATGCGAACATCCCGAAGGGCTGCCGGCATCTTCTCAGCTGAGGGCATGGACGCGGTGGGACGAGGCGCTGGCTCCTTTTGGGTTTAGGGTTTCAGGGTTTCAGGGTTCAGGGTTTAGGGTTCTCATAATTTACGGGTATCCTCGGAAGCCAAAGTTAGGGAATCTACCTGTGATGGAGGGAAGACGTGAGACCCAAACACCTTCAAAGCGCCCGCGTGAAGCGATGGGTGGGGGTTCTTCTTGGGCGTTTTTTCGTTTTTTTGGGTTTTTTTTTGGTTTTCTAAACCCTAAACCCTAAACCCTAAACCCCCTAAACCCCCCCCCAAACCCCCCTAAACCCCCCAAACCCCCTAAACCCTCAACCCTAAACCCTGAACCCTAACCCTAAAACTAAACCCACACACCCAAAAAAGACCAAAAATGATTCCCAACAAAAAGCCGTGCTTCTGAAGCGATGGAGGCGAGTGGACGTCGACAAGCGCCGCCACCGCTCTCTTTGCAGCCTGGTGGAAGGTTTTTTTCTTCGGGGGAGCCGCAAGAGCAGGATGTCTGGTGTGTAGAGCGTACAACTTACGTTGCAAAATGCACTCCCTAAGCCCTGAACCGCCAGGCCTAAGTGCTTAGACCCCAACAGCATTCTCAGGTGAGCCTCGCGCTCTTCGCTGCTGCGACTTTCGGGGCCTTTGCCCGCGATATCAGTCGCAACCAGACCAAGTGCCTCGGATGGAGGTTGGAAGACGTTCGAAGTAGAAGGTTTCCAGAAGCTTCATAACTATGTTTGGATGGCTTAATGATGGTTTGCTTGGGATATTATTCAGGGTCAGGGCGTCCAGCTCCACAAGCCCAGGTGGATGAGCCAGCTGATGTCTTTGTCCTACCCGGACAATGAGCATGAGGAAGAGGCCGGGTCGTCTCCAGCGAAGCCACCAGAGTCTCCAATTGCAAAGGGTCGCACAGAGAATCCTGTAGAGGGTCCCTGGAGTGCCCCTTTGCGCAGAGTACTAGTAGAGCGCACGCGCCCAGAGAATCCGTGCAGAACTTACAAGTGTTTTCACAAGGAGCACACCTGAACCCGAATTCGACCCTAAACCCTAAACCTAAACCCTAAACCCTAAACCCGTAACCCTTAAACCCTAAACCCCCTCGTCGTTTCGGTCTGCAGCCTGGTGTGTTGCAGGACGAAGAGGAGGAGAAGGAGGAGGGGCGCCCGAAGTAGCAGAGGGCCTCCACGTGTCCGGGTTTAGGGCTTTGAAGCCCCCGGACCCTCAGTGTCACGAAAAGCCGCCCTGTGAGCCTCGAAGAGTCCAAAAACCCTGAAGCAGTTTAGGGTAGGGTTTAGGGATTAGGGTTTAGGGTTTAGGGTTTAGGGTTTAGGGTTTAGGGTTTAGGGTTTCGGGTTTAGGGTCTTTAAAAAACCCCTAAGGCCCCCCAAAGGATGCCCCCTCAACCCAGCAAAAGCCACGGGTGCGAGGAGAAGGCGCGGAGCCTTTGCAAGTACTGCATCCTGGTTCTGCAGGGCCTGCAGGCCTGCTTGCTTTCCTAGGGTTTAGGGTTTAGGGTTTAGGGTTTAGGGTTGAGGGTTTAGGGTTTAGGTTCAGGATTTGGGGAGGTTTCCGAAAGTAGGTGTACCTTATATTGGGGCCCCTATTACAAGGGGATCCTGCTGTTTGGGCTCCACTTTAGGGGTCCCCCATTTTCGTAACCCCAATCTAGTGTTCGGAAGAATTTTAAGTTACGTACAACATTTTAAGAAGTTACAGTGGAGATCCAAGAAGGATTGGCACAGAGCGTCCTCAAAGTGGGAAGGCCGGCGTGGACCCCGAGTCCCTTGAGCTTGCGATCCTGGTGAGGACAGCGCTCTTCTTTTGTGGGCCGAGTCAGGGCGTTGCAGCTTCATAGGGACATTTTGAGCGGATGGGTTGCAGGTTCTTGTTGCGAATACGAGCACGTGCCATGCGGGGGCACATTTCGCACCATCTCCCGGCTAGTTTATTCATTGCAAGGCCATGTTGTGTGCATGCAGAGAGTGCGGAGCTTCAGTTGAGAGATGATGCATCAAAACCACGTAATCGCGTCTATCTTTTGCCACACCTTTCGCATCGGCAATGAGGAATGGCTCTTAACAAGCTGGGTGCTTTCAGAGTGCGCTCTGCGATAAGGAATAGGCCAAGGGACTAAAACGGCATTTCCAGCTGCAACCCTTGCTTGAATCATTGAAGCGCATGCGGCTCATCGCCGGCTTTTGTTTGGGCATTTGAATCCTTGGAGGACCGTGGGCAGCAAGGAAGGTGCCTGGCCTCATACGGCAGCAGCGTGACACGGTGTAGGATTTCGTCGGTTTAGGGTTTAGGGTTTAGGGTTTAGGGACAGACTTTGGAGGATGCATGATGCCCAATGCCCAAGACGCCTGTGACAGCCACAGATGCTCCGAGCCAGCATCTCAAACCCCCCTCCAGGGAGCGAGCTGACGAAGGGGAAGAGCCCCCTCTATGCCGCAGCCGTGAAGTTGGCAGACGACCCTTGGCTCTACGCGGGTTGTGATCTTCATACTTCACATGCCGAAGCCGGGAAGGTCTTGCTTCGACGTCGGAGTGGGCCAAGAGTATCAGCCTTTCAGTCTGATCCTCCTCCCAAGTCTTGCCCCCCAAGTCAGAGCGCACATGGGGTAGCCATGGTTGCATTCAAGCAAGCCCTGAACCCCAAGCCCTGCTGAAACCCTGAAAAACCCTGAACCCTAAAAGCTTGGAGTGCCTGGCAGATCGCCAACGTCCCGTCGGGCTACGCCAGGGCAACGAACCTCTTCCTGGAGGTGTGCAGAGCAGGGCCGAACCATGCAAGAAGTGTTTGGCAAAAAAGGGTTGTTTTCAGCTTCTTTGTTGCTTCTTTGTTGCTTTCACTGGTGTTTTGGGGTTTTGGGCTCGAGGGCTTTCTTGGGGATGGGGAGGGGGGGAGGGTAGGGAGGGGTAGGCAGAGGACGGGGATCTTTTTGAAGCAAAGCTTTGTGAAGAGGGTCGGCCAGAGATCCCTCATCAACCTGACCGGACACGCTCGATGTTGTAGGGTTTGGCGCTGCGAGTTGTGTGAGTGTTAGGCTTTAGGAATGACGGGCCATTGTGCAGTTCGGGGTATTGGGTGGAGGGGTGTTGGGTTTTTTTTGGGGGGCTGGCATCTTTCGAACCCCCCCCGTGAGGCCAACTGGCTCGCTCGGATGCTGCTGCTCTTCCCGGCGGTGCACCGTTCTCTATCAGCAGGGCACGGCAGCCTCATCTACTCCCGCGCCCCGGACCTTGTACTGCGCTTTGGGGGTTTGGGGTCTTGCCAGGAGGTGGCTTCAGGGCGTGGGAGGGGCATCTGACGACCGACGCAGCCCCAGAAGATGTGAGGTCCCCTTGTGTTTTTCTGGAAGGCCCGAATTGTGTCCCTGCACGACCAGAAGATGTGAGGTCCTTCTATTTTTTTCTGAAAGGCCCGATTTGTGTCCCTGCAGGTGCATCGAAGGTTGTGGCCCGGGCCTTAGAGCAATGTTTCTGTTCAGTAGCCTTCTCAATACAGTTCCGAGAGAAGATTCTGGGCCATCGTGAGAGGCCTGGCGCCTGGCGGGTGAAGCTCTGTAGCTTTGTAGGGAGATGTAAGGTGACAAGCTCACATCAGAAGCTCAGCCCCCGAACCCTTGTGACCGGTGATCCTAATTTTGGGAATGGGGCGCATCTGGCTTTTTTTTGTCCTGGAGATATCTGTGAAATATGGCTATGATCGTGGGGTTGCCGGGCTTGCCCGGGTTGCCCCCCAGGTGAGCTGCCAGTTGTGGCATGGCGGGCGTTCGGGGCATAGGCTGCCCATGGCATTCCACATCGATGCAACATCAGGGTCTTGGTAGCTGTTGCGGCTTGGCTCCAGCTGATGTTGTCGAGAGCAGATTACACATTTTTCCCAAGCTTTGAAAATGCAGAGATCCCGAACAACCTCCTCACCATGGGCAACCTTAGCAGCTATGGCGGCCCGGTGTCTGAGATTGCTCGCTTGGAGGAGCGGGTGCGGAGGCTGTTGGCAGATGTCCGGGAGAGGCGAATCGACCGGCGAACGATGATGGAGGCGGGCATGCATATACGGCGTTCTGTCGATGAACTGGTGGTTGCTGCAGATGATCGCGAGACAAGACAGCGGGGTCACACTCTCCGCAAGCACGTCTCTTTCCTGCTGGACTCTGACGGCTTGCTGTCCGACTTAGAACAGCGGCTGCGGCAACTTGAAGACCAAGTGCAGTCTGTTGAGGTGTCGGAGCAGGCTGCGCAAGGTCAGGGGAGGAGTATCTGGGAAGCTGCAGACAGACTGGTGTTGGCCAGGGACGACCAGGCTGCAGACAACCGGAGGCGCGACCTGCAGGGAAGAATCACAGCATTGCTGGATTCGCTTCTTCGCATTTCCGCGCTGGAAGAACGCCTGCAGAAGCTTGTGGAACGCGCCTGTATTGGTATCCCCCGCGACGCAGAGCAACAGGCGGCCCATATCCGTTTGGAAGCCAACAGCCTTCAACTTGTCCCCTTTGCGCTTGGCAGGAGAAAGGATCTGATCAATCGGGTCCAATCTTTCGTTGCGCTTGTGACGGTGAGGGAGCGGAGCGCTGCTGAGATTGCCAACCTGGAAGAAAGGGTCCGGAGGCTTGTGAGTGCTGTGCAAGAGCACCAGCTAGACCGCAGCAGAATGGCGGATGAGGGAATGAACATACTGCATGCCATTGACGGTTTGGCAGTTGCAGAGGACGACCAGCAGGCAAAAGAGCGCAGGCACGGCCTGCGTGAAAGCATTTCATTTCTGCTAGACTCCGACGATCACCTGTCTGACTTAGAGGAGCAGCTGCGCTCGCTGCGCTCGCTTGAAGTGAAGGGAGCCATCTCGAGGCAATCCATGGAAGCGGCCAGGAGTATCCGTGCTGCTGCTGACAGGCTGGTCCTGGCCAGAGATGACCAGGCTGCCGAGCGCCGACGAGAATCCTTGCGGCGCCGCATCGATGGCTTCGCGGGTGAATTGAGTGAGCTGTCAGTACTGGAGGAGCGGCTACGAGGGCTGGAGCAAGATGTGCGAAACAATCGCATCTCAAAGCGGTCAGCCGAAGAAGAAGCCACCCAAATCAGCATAGCCGCAGACAACTTGGAGCTGGATACTCAGGTCCGGGGGAGGAGGAGGCTCTTACTGGAGCGGATCCGTCTCTTGTCAGACGTTTCGGGATCAGGCTGCAAGCGCCCAGCTCAGTCCTCGAAAAGCGAGGGACTTACGGAGCGTGCGCAGAAGCGGCAGCGGTGACGGAATAGGAAAGGCAAAGGGCCTTCCTCAGGGATGGCAGGGCCTTGACAAGTTCTTCAGAAGTGATTGTCCATCGCATCGCTATCTTTGGCTGGCACTCTTGCATATTCTTGCCAGTGTCAGTAGTTACCATGACGTCATTGTTGTTCTCGTTGTGCCATGGACGGAAGTCCGAAACTTTGCATGGCCAGTCGCTTCCCACAGGGCTTTACCTTAGGCGCAGCGTTATATCGCTGTCTGGTCGAGTCTTGTCATTGCAAGCACAAGACCCCAAGCAGAAACAACTGCGAAGCGGGTGCAATCATATTTTCGAGTCCCTGAAGCCAAAATCCTAAGCCCAAGTTTTGCAGCCAGTGCGGCCTTGTGAGGCCGCGAACCCCTAAAGTCCCCAGCCCTTGACCTTTCCAGGCCCGGAACGGGAACTGGCTGTAGAGTTTAGGGTTTGGGGACTTCGGGCTTAGCGTTTGGGGTTTTAACACAAAACTCGCAATGATGCCCTTGCGCTATTCAAGAACGTCAGATAAGTTCGGGACATGGCGAAGGTCGCGAATCTTCAAATACCGCCGCCCCCCCTCCCCCCGAAAACGCACCAGAATCCCAAGCCCCGGAAGCCCCAAAGCCTGCACTTTTTGATCCAAATTTCACGACCGAGATCATCTTCATGAAGATCTTCTTCGCGGGGGCTCTGGCTGCCCTCTTCTTCCAATCCGGAGCATCAGGACGAGCCGAGATGCTGAGGTTGCTGAGGTTGCTGAGCGGCTCGCTCACTGAATCACTGAAGGCTCAGGGTCTTGTAATTGTTGTAATTGTTGACCTCCGTAGCTGAAGATGGGGTTTCCAACTTCAGACCCTGTAGGTCCAGCGTAGGCGTGTAGGGTGGGAGAGTATAGGGGGCTGTGGCTGCAGGGTTGGAGAAGCTCGGCCGCTTGTCCGAAGGGCGTGTGGAGGCTTAAGCGCGGCAGCAGGTAGTCCTTTCAGACCGACAAGTCCCCACCCACAGCTCACTTGAAACACCATGAGCCGTGTATTCGCCTTCTTCTTCTTGGTCCTTGTCTCCCTTGCCGGGGCCCGTCACAGCAGGCGCTCCGGGTGCCACGGTTTCAGCCACTTCGGCCACTCCGGGTGCCAGTGGAAGGAGAAGAAGGAGAACTTCTTTCGATTGTTGGGGCAAGCGCGGCAGCACACGCATGACCTGCTCACCGGCATTAGGCACAGGGTGGCAGAGCAGCAGGAGACGGTGAGGCAGGATGTCACGGCTGCTTGGGAGAGGGCACGTCAGAGCACCCAGGCGACGATGTCTGAGATGCGAGAGGCAGTCGCTGAGAAGCAGGAGCTCAAAGAGACCTTGAGGAGGGTGCGCGAGAACACCAGGGAGAAGCAAGCCGCGAACGAGAGGCTGACGAAGGAGAACCAAAGGCTCGAAGAGGAGATCCGCACCATGCGCCAGCAGTCTCAAGAGTTTCAAGATGCCCAGAAGTCCTTCGTGCAGGAGAACCAGCACCTCCTCGAGGCCTTGCGCATCGCGGGCTTGGAGAAGCAGGAGCTGAAAGAGACCGTGAGGAGGTTGCGAGAGCGCTCTCGAGAGAAGCAGAAGACCATCGACGGTCTCAGGGAGCAGCCTGAGCCCTCCGGCTCATGTCCTACGGAGCCTCAGAAGGTCACAACGGACGAGTTGGCGATGGCCCAACTTCAGAAGCTGCAAGGCACGATGAACAGGCAGGAGGTGTACCATTATGGGCACGGCTATGTGCACGGCTTGGCATCCTCCCTGAGCCTCTGCCTCCTTGTCTTCTTCTCTTTTCACTCCCGGCTCTGTGGACAGAGCCCTCCTGTGCCGAGCCCTCGCATCGAAGCAGAAGAGCCCGGGGCGGAGGCCGCGGCGGAGGCCGCGGCGGATGAGGCGTGGGATCCCCTGGAGCCCTTGGAGGAGGAGATCTCAGATTCTGGTGCCAGCGCGTCAGAGTCCGAGTCCGAAGAGTCGGAATCAGAGAGGTCAGAGCAGTCAGAGGAGTGGGAGATGGTTGCCGGACTTGACTGAAGCCCGACTGTCCGCATGTACAAAGCCAGTGAAGGTTTCGGTCTGCAAAGTTGATGGGCGTGTCGTAGAGCGAAAAGTAGATCTGTCACGTAGTCCTGTAGCACCACCGAGACCATTTCCGACCATTCAGGGTCCGGAGAAGTCTGAAACCTTCATCCTTGCGTTTCTGTGCGATTAACTGGAGTCCTTCGCGAATGGTTATGCCTGGGGACTCAGTGGCGCAGAGCCGCGTTCCCTCAGGTGCAGTGCAACACTGTGTTGCAAGGGAGCGCTTCATGAGGCCCTGGCACCCTCTCAGAGTTTGAGACCCTCATCTTTCTTGGGGAGCCACAAGCCCTGCCATAGAGCCCTTCAAGCCCAGATGCCCAGCACGCCAAAGGGTATGATTGCGATGATTTCGAGTTAGAGAGGTTCACTTTTCTGTGAGGGAGCCCGGACCTGCGCGGGCAGCTACAGGTTTCACTCTCGTGCGGCCCGTGACCCTTGTGACCCAACGAGTTGAGGCTACTCGGTTTTACGGATTTGGGGAGGGCGTTGGAGTTTGAAGTTTCCGTTGAGGGCTCAGGGTTTAGGGCCACGGCTGCATGGTTTCAATGGGCAGCCAAACTCCAGTGTGGCCTGGTTTTGCACCATCTGTCGTGTACAGGGCGTTGGTGCCTCACACAACGCGAGAGACGAAGCAAGAAACCAATCCTTGCGATTGCGATAGCTTACGGCTGGTCGTGGGGCGGGGTGTTCGCACCACGGAGGCCCCCCGAGTGCTGTGGAATCCCCTTTCACAGTGTATGATGTGCTGTGTCCACAATTGGGGGTTTCCGAACTCCGAAATTCAGGGGTCCTTACTATCAGAGAATCCTAATATTTAGGGTCCAGATTGTGGGTGGTCCATTTTTTCTCTCGTAGAAACTCCCGAAAATCAGGGGTTTATGATCCTGAAGCATGCCAGTGCCCACGAAGCTTTCTATGGAGTCGACCTCGGCCTGCAGCAAGGGTTTAGGGTTTAGGGTTTAGGGTTTAGGGTTTAGGGTCCCCCCCAGCCCTGTAAGACCTTGCCAGGACCCGGCTCCGAAGCGGCCTGCATCTTGACTCCTTCTGGGGGTTTACGATATTAGGGGTACCTGGTTTAGGGTTTAGGGTTTAGGGTTTAGGGGTTAGGGTTTGGGCCTTACCTATTATAATTATAGCGTTTAGGGTTTAGGGTTTAGGGTTTAGGTTTGGGGTTGGGGGTTTAGGGATTGGGGTCCTGATGATAAGGGGATCCTCCTCTTTGAGGGTCTATCCCTATGTTCGTACCCCTTAGCAGCCTTAGCAACTTTCGAGGTACCTTCTTGGGGTCGTCATGATAAGGGGATCCTTCTATTTGGGGGTTGATATTCGGGTCCCCTATTTTCGTAAGCCCCCCTCATGGCTTTCAGGGAAGCTCGGAGGATTGCAAAGCCCCCCAATGTCGCCTCAACAGAATGCCCACAACCCCAAGCCCCAGCACACACACCAGCAATCCTCCAGCCAAAGCCTTCACCAACAAAAATCCCCCCTACACCCTAAACCCTACACCCTAACCCCTAAACCCTAAACCCCAAACCCCTAAACCCTAAACCCGACACCCCCTTCCCAGGCCTCGCGGGAGGAGGTCTCGGCATAACCCTCCTCCTGGGATTAGCCTCGGCCCTGGTCAGTGACCTGATGATCTATGGGCTCGTGGCGCTCAGGAGATCCCTCTGGTATCATAAGGCCCCAAACCCTTAACCCCAAACCCTAAACCCCAAACCCTAAACCCCAAACCCCAAACCCCAAACCCCAAACCCCAAACCCCAAACCCCAAACCCCAAACCCTAGACCCCGGACGTCGCGAGGAGACAGAGCTTCAAGTCTGCGCACGGCAACGTGGAACTCCAGCTGCCCACCCTTTATTCGGGGGTCCAGTTCACTTTTTTTTTTTTTTTCAGTTTTCTTTTTTATTTGAATTTTCGTTTTTAAATCGGGTTTTCTTCGGGTCTAGGGTTGCATTTTTGCGCCAGTTGCGCGCCCCAAATGCAACCAGCCAGGTATTTTTCAGGTTCAGGGATTTAGGCCCTCCTTTTCAGGGCTTAGGGTTCCATAAGAGGGTTTAGGTTTTTTTGTGAGGGTTTAGGGTTTAGGGTTTTCTTCTACCGGGCCTAGGGTTCGATAAGAGGGTTTAGGGTTCTCTTCTTCAATTGTGGTTTCGGGTCTCCTTTTGTCTTGAGCTTTCTGACCCCCAAAGTCCCAAGGCTTGGTCCTCTCACGAAGGTTTTGGGCTGAAGGCAAATCTGGGGAGGTTGGGATGTCCCCCCTTATACTAACAGTCCTGAGTAGAGATTATAGCAACCCCCAAAATAAATGTTTTATATATATAGGACTGTGAGTGAGCATTGTAAGTGGGAGGCTTGCGACTTCCGAGGTTGAAGCTCAAGGAGTGGCGCGTGAGGAACCTTCTCTTCTGGGCATCTCGGCAGCACGGGAACAGGGGGGCTCGAGGTTTCAACTTCAACCGTGTGGAGCGTCGGCGCATCGTGCATCCTTAGCTAGGGGCGTCGAGCACAACAAAGAAGAGCACTCGGTGTTTCCCCCTTCCCACGTCTGCGCGCGCCCAGGCAATCACCTTATTGGTCGTGACCTCAGCATAGCTGCCATCAAACTTGGTGGCTTGTAGGTCTGTTGTGGCAGGACTCGTGTAGCTTCAAGAGCTTATCGAAGCTTCACCCCCAAAACCTTTCACTGCCTTTTCTTGAAGCCCCAACCGGGCTACTGCCAGACGCTGATCGTCTCTGTGTATGTCATCATGGGCTTCTTTGCCACCGTGACCGTCGCGGACACCGAGACCTGGGCGGCAGCCGGAGCCTCACATAAGAGGGTTTAGGGTTTGGGGTTTAGGGTTTAGGGGTCTGTACAATCGCAAAAAGCAGCAGACACTAAGCCTCCCAGCCTTGCTGTTGCAATGGGGAGGAAGGAGGAAGGTTCCAGGCAAAGCCACGGGAGTGCCCTCTGCCAGGGCGCGCTGGTGGTCCTCCTTGAGGAGCTTCAGAAGTCGCGAATGTCCAATTGGTCAGACCTTAACCCTAAACTCTAAGCCCTAAACCCTCAAGCCCGTAACCCAGAAACCCATGGGTTCTACACGGGTGGCCCTCGAATGCTGAGATCCTGGATGGGGAAGTGGCAGGGTCGCAAGGGTTTCGGGCCGCATGCGTTGACTGGAGAGGAGTTCTTCTTCGGCCCTCTGCTCCTCGCAGGGGCCTACGCACTCCTGGTCGGGCCCTCGTTTGTGCGCTTGGGCGCGACGCCCGGTGATCCCCTAAAAAATGTCTCGCCAGGTGACCCATACCTTGGAGGGCGACCATCAGATCTCGCAGTCCATGAGGTGCCTGAGTGGCCAAAGGGTCTTTCATACATGCACCTGTAAGTGTTGCACTTATCTCTACTATCATCTATGTCCTATGTTTGCATCTATACACCTATCTCATGTCACGACGAGGGTCTGGGAGGTTTTGAGGCACACCTTCGCCACGCTACTGGTAGAGGTCGTGAAAGTGGAGTCTTTGTGCGCTCCACTTCTTGAACCGCCCCCCAAACATGCGGTCTTGCATGCAATCCCTCCAGGATGGCGGCTGGCGCCGTGCAAGCACCGCCGGGGATCTCAATTCACAGTTCTGCCATAGTGGGCTTGAGTGCTTCGGGGCCTTGAGCTTGAGAGCTCACCGTCCCCGAGAAAGCCGCGTGAAGAGACTTGCTTTCCACTGTATCTCTGCAAGGAATTCGCAGTATGGTGATGCCGGAAAGGCCCATGAAAAGGGCCCCAAAAGTTCCGAGGTTCCGGGCCTGGGACGGCCCCTCCGCCGCGGATTTCCGAGTCCCCATCCCTCACGAGGCGTCAGCACAGGTGCGTGGCCCCGGACGCTTTCGCTCTTGTCCTTGAGCCGTTGTGCGGGAATCACCGCCGGGCTACCTGCTTCCATCCAACTTTCATGTCAATCTTGAATCGGCCCCAGCACGGTGCCCTAGACCCTATACACCCCGAAACCCGAAACCCCCCACGTGAAGGCTCTTGCAACCACTAGGACCCTAAGCCCCCGAAACCTCCCGGCTCTTGCAGTCTGGCCAGCTACGGGCCCTGGGTGCCGCTCCTCACGAGGCCCCGCGAAAGCGGTTTAGGGTTCGGGCGGTTCGGACAGTTTGGGTTCTTTCAGGGTTTGGGATTCTTAGGTTTCTTTTTTTGTTGTAGAGAATCTTGGTGGAGAAAAGAGCAAGAGAAAAAGGTACCACGGCAACAGCAGCAGCGATGGCAGCAACGCAAAGAATGACCGCGACACTACCCATCACCGTAACAAAGCACGTGGCAAAGGTAAGAACAAAAATAGTACTAGTCAGAATAGCATGCTTCTGATCGTAATACTCAGACTAATCATAATAGTAAGACATATGATTCATGATACGAATCATACATGGTCATTTCTCAGAAGGATGGTCCCTTTGTAAATACCCTGAATAAGAGGGTTCTGTTATCAAGGAACCCAAAAGGGACCCTAATTTAGGGAACCCCCACATAATCATTACACTACTTCTAATTTGGGATGCCCCTCTTATACGAACAGTCCTTGGTGGGGGTTATGGTGCCCTTGATTGTGGTCCATATTTAGGATTCTTAGTATAAGGGGGGGGACATCCCAACTCCTAATCAACCCCAAACCCTAAACCCTAAACCCTAACCCCAAACCCTAAACCCTAAGCCCTAAACCCTTAACCCTAAACCCTAAACCCTTATCATCCCTGAGAAGCGTAGACTACTTGCCTCAGGACCTCGGGGTCCAGTCCCTCACGCTCGGGGTCGCCTGGCAACTTTGGGTTGAAGGTTTGGCTTTTAGGGTTTTAGGGTCTTAGGGTTTTAGGGGTTTTAGGGGTTTTAGGGTTTTAGGGTTTTAGGGGTTTTAGGGTTTTAGGGTTTTAGGGGTTTTAGGGTTTTAGGGTTTTAGGGTTTTAGGGTTTTA